AGAACGTGGAATTGATTGTCGTGAAGCAGTAAATTCTTTTTTTAAAGCACACACAACGAATTTTTATATGAAAGCGACTACATCTGCTCAAATCATGGCTGCTTGCTCACGTGGACTACGATTGTTTTGGTGAGATATTGCTGATATTATTAATGTATTAAAAGTCGATATCCATCATCAAGAATCATTTATGACTGAAGTAGCATCATCAAACTTTATTTCATCAAAAATTGACATCACAACATCGATTGCAATGTCATCGGAACTTGCATACCAGCTTACAAGACTATCACGTTGACATTTTTTTTCTATTTTAATCTCATTTATTGCATGCATATGTATTATCAAGTAGCTTTCTTTATTCATTATTATTAAATATCATTCATATGTATTGAAAGTGACTTATTTTTGATTGATGAACTGATAGAGAAGTCTTTGACATATTGCTCTGTAGCTTTCTTAGAAAGAGAAAAAGTAATTAACACGTAAACAGGAAGCGAGAAAAATTGAAAAAAACGCGGAATATCAACCAATAAATAATTAGATAGCTATTTGAAAAAATGAGAAAAAATGAAATTGAGAAAGCCAATCAAATGATGAACAGAACGCATAACACATCGTATATTGGCAATGAGTATAATTAAACAATTAAAAAAAAACATGTCAAAAAGGGAAGAGATAAGAATGAATACTATAGGTAATCAATAATCATCACATTCTTTCATGTTATTATTTGTTAGATTGTCTTGTATTTTTTGTGCTTGCAATCAATTAAAATTTCTTTTGTATATATAATTGAATTTTTTCGTGAAACAATATACATATATACACATAGATTAGTAGCACAATTTATTTTGTTCATATTCTTTAATTTCTAATATTGAGAAATAGCGTGTTTTTTGTTCATTTAAGATTTTAATAATAATTATTCTAATATGGCTCATGCATTAACATTCAACGATCAAACTCTACGAAATGAAGAAATAGTTTCACTCAATCAACATATCGGATTGTTACTCGTTGACTATCTTCAAGGTTTAGATGTTATTAATTATATAGAGGCAGTAAATGGTTCTGTACAATTTCAAAACATTGTAGTATCGAAACACAAATTCTATCGAATTTTTATGGAATTAGTTAAAAAAGAAAATGTAACAGTTACTATGCCTTATCTTGATTTTTACTTGGAAGAGTGTTCTTTCACCACCATGGGATATTTATATCCCAATCACTATCATCACGAACATGCTCCTGTAATGCGTTCATTCATTCATTCTACATTTACGGTGAAAGCTTTAGAAAAACTATGTTGTACATACAAACATCCATCATTTCAATGTTACAGCCGTTTGTTACAATTTAATTCACAGTCATATGCTGGTAATTTAATTGTTCTTGATTATTTTAATTACAAATATTCAACTGGTCCTTCACGTGAATTAAACGTTCATGAACAAAGTCTTTTCAAAGGTATGATTTTTAAGATTTGTCAAGCAAAGAGAAAAAATGTTCATATGGTGTAGCGTACGATATGCCATTGTAGATGATTAATTGCCTGGTTTTATGAAGAGTACATAAGAGAAGGAGGAAAGAGAAGAAAAGAAAAAAATGACTTGTATTCGATAATGTTTATATATGACCAATGCAACGAGATTAAATGAGAATTTTATATAATACTTTTTAATCTAGAATGTCAATTGTTTCGACCATTAGCACATAATGTGCTAAACAAGAACTTAATATTTGTGGAACATATTTCAGAATTT